TTAAGACAAAAGTATAAAGTAATTGTTATTTTTATTAAAATAAAAGAAATAGGAATTGTATGAACTTTACAAACTGATCTGGACAAGGTAATTTCTCTTGTCTTTATATACATGTTTCTTTTTAAGGTACAGGACTTTAATTAAGGCACTCAACCTCTTTTAGAGTCCATGGATAATTGAACCTCAATTAAGGCACTGTGCTTCCTTTAATGTGCTCTTGATTAACAAAACTGAGTACCTTAATTAGGGTGTAAAAAGATCAGGACTCTAACTGAGGTACTTAGGGTCCTATTTGATAATCAATTAACCTTTTCTATCTTAGCTATTCTAAAGTTAATAATTCTTATTATCATTCTAAGATGTTAATTTAATTAACTAATTGGACAAAAATTGAATAACTACATAATATATGTCAATTCTAAAACTAATACAATAACTACTAAGTAATAACAAATAATGAATAAATGAATAATAATAAATTATAAAATAAGAATAAAAAAAAATAAATAATAAATAATATATAAAAAAAACTTATAGCAACATTATTACATTTTACCCTACAATATAATAATATTATCTAATCAAATAATTTTAATGATAGTATAGTAATAATTGTAATAATTAAAATTTACCTCTTTTTAAAAACCAAATCTTAACATGATCGACGATCTCCCAATTAATTCTAATGTCTAATGACAAGAAAATGAATATTAATTATTTCAGATGTAAAGTTTACAAAATTTTTATATGTAAATTTTTTTTTTATAAAAGGAACCTTATTTTAGTATGAACTTTTTACCTTAATTTGATAATGAAATAACTTAATAATTAATTTCTTAAAATTTTTTTCAAGAAAAAATTTTTTACCTGATTCAGGAAAACCAACACAGACAATTAACATCATCATTATCAATGCTTTCAACATCCACTACTTGTTTATGTGATTCTTAAGCAGCAACAGAATTGCCAACTTGTTGTTCATGCGATTCTTTAACGTCAGTAGCATGTAGAGGTGTGGTAACAAGGACAAAAATTTTAGGTATATGATCGTGCATATAGATTCGAATTTTTCAAATGTAAAATGTAGACGGAGAGGCCCTTTCAACGAAAACGAAAGGTCTTAGGAATACTTGGTCAATTTTCGGATAAATATGTTCCCCCAATACTGATTGAGAAACGTAATTTTGTCGACAAATTTTGGTCAAAAGGTTTGCATGATGCCATCTAGTATAGGCACAGAGGAACCTGTTACTGACCGATATTCGTTGTTGTTAGAATGCATAATGGCATTACATCCATAGTGGTATTTTTTAAAAATTATTTTGTTGACAAACGATCTTCAACAGAATAAACACTTGAAGAACTTCAACGCATATACCAATTTGGCGAACTCAAATTGCTTGCCTGTGATAACGAGAATGCATATTTCGTTAAAATATCAAAAGACGCTCGACGTATGGTATGACGAAAAACCAAATTGTTATTTGACTGTCAGATCAGATTTTTGGTACTCCTCATAGTGAGCGAACCTGCTCCGCCCTGACTTATAAGCGACTAAATCATTGATTTTTTTTTATATGTGAAATATGAGGCTTTATAGATTTGTGATGTCTAAATTTCTATGAATTACATCCATAGAAAATTTTAGCATTACATCCAATAATAAAAATATTATTTTTGGGTACTAGAAGTTAAAAAAAGTTCATTCATTCATTTAAATAAATAAAGTTTATATAATTTTGTTTGATAAATTTTAAAAGTAATAATAATAACGGGGAGGTTTTATTTAAATTGACTTTAGTTAATTGTTGGTATATGCGATTAATTTATATTTAAGCAAATAAGAATATTAATTTAAAAAGTTAAAAAATAAAATTTACTATTTTGTAATCTACATAAACAACATTTTTTTCAGATGAAAAAAAATGTAATTATACGTATTCAAATTGACTAACAAATAACTTACCAATTTTTTTAGAAAATGAATATAACAAATTAACTGAATCACAAAATTATAAGTTTTTCCTTTTTTTCAATTTAACTTTTAATTCCTCGCACATCCTAATCGACTTGAGACTTTCTTTCAATGGCCCCATCAGTTGAATATCATATTTTCGGTACAACATTGCAAGAGTAGCTTTCATTTCCGTCATTGCTAATTTTCTTCCCGGACCTGCAAAAGAAATAATTAATTTATATGTAAAGTAGTTATGTATTCTTTTTTTATAATTAAAAAAGAAAATTACAATTACTTATGCTTACATTTTCTCAAACCTCCACCAAACATATAAAATTGACTTTTACTATCAGGATTATTTTTATCCATGAATCTATCTGGATTAAATACTTCAGGATCTTTCCAATATAATTCG